GCCATGTTAAAAAAGCACTTACTCCATCTTATGCTAAGAAAATATAGGGCAAAATTTGGCAAATACTGTTCATTCAGTATGCATGTGTTTACAAAAAAATGTGAAAATCTCAGCTCCTTTTTTTTTGTTTGTTTAAATTCAAAACATTTTCACCCATTTTGTCCATTTTGGTTTCTTGCCATTCAATTCTTGTCTTTCATTTCTTTCTCATTCCTCGTTAAGTGTGAATAAAACTTTTGAAATAGCAATTAAAATAGACGTCTTTCTGTTAAGAGAGCCTATGTGTGACTGTGCTGCTGCCTATTGTCCTGCTTCATTTCTTCCTTTCTCAGGTCTATCCTTCATCTTCTCTCATCTGTGATCTAGACTAAGCCCTTTGTGGCAAGGATTTTTGTATTATATTCATCTCTGCCTAGAGCAGAGACACTTATTATTGGTTTGTGAAAGTATAAAGAATGTAGCGGATCAATGCCATTATCCTGAACTGCACTTAGAAGACAAAGGCAGCACAGCTCTTGAGTTGATGCTCTTGGGAGGACAGAAGCAGAGCTACATTTTGGGCTACTGCAGATTTGCCAGAGGACTCTCTGTATATTTCTATCTAAAGATCATAGCCAGGGCAAAACCTACAAAAGCACTGGTGACTGCAATAAAGCTTGTAACACAGAATTGTCTTAGTTGCCTTATCAAATCAAGCAGACATTAACAAAAATTTTGACTGCTACGACTCAGCAGCAGCCTGGACTCTGACCTCAATCAGAGTGTGGTGTCAATAGGCTGCATTGATTTAAAACAGACATCGTGACAGTGTTTCTGGTTTTGAATAGACCTTGCAAAGGAGGTAGTAGAGCAAGTGAACTAGAGGCTTGAGAGATTTGAGATCTGTGATCAGGGGAAATAGATCAGGGAGCTGAGCTCTGGAGCATCTCTCCCCCAGCTAAAAGCTTTTTCCCTTAAATCCCGCAACAGGTGCACGCAGCCTCCACGAAAGTAGGAGGTTTAGAAGCACCTTTTTCTTTGCTTTTTTTCTTTTTTGGGATGGTTTGGACATTGGTGCATTCAGCACACCGAATACTCTGATCCCTGTTTGAGAGGCCAAGCCTGCTTGGCCACCCATCACACTGCCCTGGAGTCAAGCACTGCAGCCCTGAGCATCATGCTGCTGTCACCCTTGGTCGAACACCTGCTCTGAGAGCCCCATATTTTGTTTCTGTGTCAGCACTTTAGCTGCACTCTGTATGGTATGCATTTATTTATGCTTGATTGACAGGCCTCTCAGGATCAGAAACTTGGCATCGGCCTACTAAAATACTTTGCAGCTTGGAAGATAATGAAATAGTTTGTTCTCTGTTGTGTTTTTTCTCTCCATTGACACCTGTGCCAGTACTGCTGATCTGCTTTCCCGAGTTTGCAAACACAATCTTTGGTATATGGGTTTTCACAAAGAGAGCTGGTGATACTGAACTTGTGATAGCTGGTTTCAGGAATTGCAAAAGACCAGCTCCCCTCAAAGTCATTTAACTAGACATGGAAATACATCTCTGAGTTTAGCACAGAAGCGTGCTTTGTTGGGGTGAGATTTTTACTATAGAGAGATGTAAACCTCCCTAGGCTAAAACTACAGAGATAATTACATATAACATAGGAACCCCATCACAGCAATTGATCCAGTATGACCCTTATATAGCTAATTACAGACTGTCAAGGCAATTTCTGTTCAAGCTGGACTGATAGTTAATTGGTTGACTCCCATTGAAATCCTGACTTTGGTTTGGCACAGGGAAAACAGAGAGTTGTGCATCTGGCCAAAGCATCTCATTGCTGCCCTGGGGGCAGGCAGACAAGGTATTAACAGCTGAAAATGAAAAATGGCAAATGAAAGTCCAAAAGAAGCAGCAGCTTTATCTACCTGTTCTTTCCTTCCTCTCCTGCTCTGCCTCCTTCAAAACCTGTTGCTCAGGCTACAAGACTAAATAATACACACAGAAGTATAATTGTCTTTGTAAGACTCAGTTAATTCACAGTGCAGAACAGAGGACATATCTCTACTGGTAACTTTTTGGTCAAATTGAAAACTGGCAATTTATTCTAGCTGCTTTGTCTTTTGCTGCTTTGTCTTTCAACACTTGCTAATCCACAGCAGAAATTTATCTTCTACCTTGTGCCTACCTGGTTTCCTTAGTAACTTCTCATAAGAATATGACAAGAGCTTGCAAAAGCGCAAATAAATTGTCAACTGTTTAATCTTTATTTACAGAAAATCTTGTGCTGTTAAATCTACTAGATCTCTGCCAAAGCTGGCTGATGTATTTCACAGAATATTGCTTTCTCTCTTGTTCAAAAAAGGATCCAGATATTATTAAACCAAAAAACCCCACCCCGAAATGTAAAAATCTCATTGCTTGTGTAAAGAGATTTAAGACCTGGAAGTTACCTGAACCTACATGCATGCTCCATATCTATCCTTTGTTTATGAGTGTCATTACCAAAATTACTTTTTCAGCTTTGCATATATTTAAAATATTTTGCAGAAAAAGGAGGTTAAAATCATCCCTCTTGATGCCTTCTGAAAGAGTTTAGATTATTTAAACGCTGTCAAAATGGATGCTTGAATAAAGATGTCACTGGTTTATGATTTAGAAGCAAAAGTGGGACCAAGGTCGGGACAAAAGAGAATCAGAACATCTTTAATTGTGAAACAAAGAAGAAGAAGGAGTGCAGATTGGCAATAATTATATGTTTCATTGTTTATGCTACTTCAGAACTTCCACCATGGTGTGGGTTCCACTTGATGGATGGTGCAGATCCAAAGTATCTGTCGGTCCTACAAGCTTGCAATATGAATAAATGGACAGTACTGGGGCACACAGGAGGAAACAATAAAACAAGGGAGCTATGCAGAGAGTTCTGGTGGTTTGCAGTAAATACCTTGTAGGGGAAGGTCTGACAAAGAAGAAAGCTAGGAAGGGAGTGGCATGCTCCTAAAGCCTTTATGCACTTCCATTTTTTTTCCTTTAAATATTTGGAAATGGTTCCCCTACCTGTGGTAAGCTTCTTTCAAAGGTCTTCAGGCAGGCCATCCACACAGCTTTCTGATGGCAAAGAATTGCCATGTTCATGTTCTTCATAGCTAGCCAACTATTGGGTAGGAAGCTTTTGCTCAAAATATATATGGAAAGGTGTATGGTTAAGTGCAGAAGAATGGTGAGGAGATAAGTGCTGAAGGTCAATACAGCAATAACTCAGATATTGCTTATAATGAAATCCTTTATGCTTTGTTAAAATCACTATTCTGCCTTGTAATATATTGTTACTTATGTTGCTTCCTTTGGCTGAATTTTCCCAGAATGTGTCATGTATCATGCTCTCTACTGTAATTAGCTGTGTGCTTTTCACATTATTCATGTGATGACTATATCACAATTACCGCTCATGTGGTCTCTCACATAAAAAGCTTCATAAACTCATGTCCATTTTTCTCTGCCGTGGGCCATGGTGCCAGTGGTGGCACAGTGGTGCCAGGGATCTCCCCACTTGCTGCTTACCTCACTCAGAAAACTATTGGGGAACCCCCACTGGGGATTCTGAGGTAATAAATGCTTTCTGACCATTGCTGTGTGCGCTGAGCTTGTGGTATCCAACCCTGCTCGAGTTTGGGTGGGCATCAACACTGGTGGAGGCCATTCTGGTGCTGTCACCTGGACTAAACAAGGGGCAGAAGGAAAGACAAATTTTGGAAGAGGTATCACACCTCAGGCATCAGAGTTTAAGAAAATCTGCATCTATTATGGATTAGAAGGAGACAATGTTGGAATTAGATTATCTTGTCTCCAGTCCAAATGCACTTCTGTTTTTCTGGGCTGGTCTGTGGTTTGGGAAGAGACTTCAGGTCAGAAAAACTTACCAGAGATGCTGCTCAGAGGCTGTGATGGTGGCAAATGTGGCAAGCCAGGATGGAAACAGAACCACAGAGATGAGTTTGGGGTTGGCAATATCCCTTCTAACACTGCCTTGAAGGCGGTTTTGTCCCTTGATGGGGTCAGGCGGAGTGTGAGGGGAAGGGGGTAGAGCATGGGCTGTGGTGACATCACAGTCAGGCTAGTTAGTCTCCAGGCTAATGGCAACAGAGGGGCCCTGGGGAGCCCGTGTCAGGTCTTAACAGAAAAATACTGATTGCTCGTAGAGTCCTGTCCAAGCAAAGCCTTGAGGAATGGGTTTTGCCAGAATAAAAAACACGGGAATGCTTTCACCACTCGATTTCAGGTTAGCCTTCACAGTCCTTATGGGTATTTACGTTGGCTTCCCAGCCGGTGCCGCAGACCGCCGGGCGGACGCTGGCGGGAGGCGCACTGGGGATGGAGCATCCCAGGAGGCGCACGGCGGGGACGGCGCTCACCGGGGCGAGCCCGCGAGTCGGCCACTGGGCCAGGCTCCCTAACGGGTTTCCTTGCGCAGGGCAACGACGGGCAAAGGCAAAAATCGACTTAATACGGCCAGTCGGGCCGGGACCCTCTGCTGGTGCTCCCAGAGGTAGATGGTTCGAAATCAGTGGCCCCGAGCCTGGAGCTAAAGGCTTGCGGGGGTTTGTTCCCAGCGCAGCGGCGCTGTCCGAGGAGGAAACGAGGGGCCGGAGGATCCCGCAACTTTTCCCCACCGCTCCCGGTGCCCGCCGGCGCCCGTCCCGCGCCCCGCTGCGCGCCCGCGGAGGCGCCGCGAGCCCGCCAGGGGGCGGCCGTGCCTGCGCCCAGGGCGCGGTGCGGTGCGGGCGCGGAGCGGGGCGCGGGTCTCCGCGGGCGCTGCCCCCGCCCGCCGCCGCTGCCAGTGATGTCATGGGGCGGCGGCGGCGGCGGCGGCGGCGGCGGGCGGGGGGGCGGGGAGGAGGCGGCACTGCAGCTGCATGTGTCTGTAGCGGCGGGGCCGGGGCGTCGTCATCTGCATTCACATGGGGGCGGCGCCGGCCTCCGCCTGAAACCCCCGCCCGGGGAGACACAAAACCCACGCGAGGCGCGGGGCGCCGCGACCCCCGCCCCGCCGCCGCCATCGCCATGAATTCGGCGGAGCAGACCGTTACGTGGCTGATCGCCTTGGGCGTGCTGGAGTCGCCCAAAAAGACCATCTCCGACCCCGAGGGCTTCCTCCAGTCCTCCCTGAAGGACGGCGTGGTGCTCTGCCGCCTGCTCGAGCGCCTGCTCCCGGGCACCATAGACAAAGTAAGTGCCCGGCGCCCCCCGCCTCCCCGCCCTTTGTGCGGCCGGGCCCGCCGCCCCCCGCCCGGCCCCGGCCGCCGCCCCCCGCGGGAGGGGGGACCCCCAGCCCCGGGGAGGGGGGCGAGGGGCGCGGTGGGGCGGAGCGGGCGGTCGGTCCCCGTCGGGAGGGCCGGGGGGACCGCGACGAGCGGCCGCGGGCAGCTTGGCTGGAGGGGCTTTCCTCTTGAGGGCCACGGTTCTGCAAGTGTTTTACGGAAAAAACCGCACTCCTCCCCAAACCGAAGTCCTGGGTGTGCACGGGAGATGCATTTATTTTGGGGAGTGGGTTGTGGACCCTTTCTGGCGTGCCGCGAGCCGGCTGTAAACTTGTCTACGCAACTGCTGGAATAGCCGGTGCCTCACCTCGCTTGGGAGGTGATTCAGCTCATCCCTTCCAGCCTCTGAAGGACATTTTAGCGTTTGATGCTTAGTTTTTTTGAAGAGTGTTTTAGCGTGATTTGGGTCTTTTACTGTTTGGTAGCCCGTGGAAAAAATCTCATCATTTTTTTTCGGGTTGAAAAAATGCATTACAGCTCTATTCTGCGTTGTGTTTGAAGAAAACGTACTCTGTCAGGTAACTTTTATGTGTTCTGTGTGCGTACGTAATTCCCGTCATAGCTCGGCTAGAGGGGAGGGTTTTGATTTGTGCCTCAAGACTTGGGACAGTGCAGTTGTCTCACCTGATATTCAATAACGTACTGCACATAGAGACCCACATATCGACAAAACTTTCCTTTTGAGCCAATCCGAGGTGGTGAGAAGAAGATTGATGAAGGTCATCTACTATGCTGATGGGATAACTCCTTGCTTGAAAGTAACACCATATTTTTCACCTTTTACAGTTGGCAAAGCACTCTACTCATTGGAGCCTGCTGACAATGGGCTTTTATTACCTTTTTTGGCTCTATTTCAAGTAGCCTGCAGACCCACAAAGTTGAAACCAGTATCTTGAGCTCAGTAGGGCACTGGACTGTGCTGTCTCCCTTTGGTTCTTCAGTTTGCCACCAGCTGGAGTTGTTACTGTTTTGTGTTACATTCTAGTGTGGAGGTCCTGGCTCTGGACTGGATCCCCTTCTACAGGATGTCGTAGCTCGTTCCTGCCCCCCTGAATTTACAAGCAAATTAGGACATGACATGGGGATATGGAAACCCCACGGGGGCCGGCAGTGTTCTTGGCAGGTGATGGAGGTGATGAGAATGGAGGCAATGTGTCAGTGGCAGTGTGAGCCACCATGGTGGCCAGCAGAGCTATCCGGGACAGCTGAAGCCACTGCTGCTGCCGCTGCCAACTTTTCCCTGCCATCATTTCTCCCAAAGTGGCTGTGCGGGCAGTAGAGCTGAAGAGGATGTGCCTGCTTCCAAAGTGCCTTGGCTTTGCAGAGGTGGTACATAAAGTGCAAACTGCTGTCCAGTACACTGGGCTGCAAACTGTGGCTCCACAGCAGGTAAACATTCTGCTCTGCGATCCGCAGTGATACATGTGACATGTGGGGCTGAGTGGCTATCCACTGGCTTTGGCAGGCTCTGCCCATACCTCCTTGCCCCCAGGTTCTTTTGCCTGCAAGCCCAAGAAGGGTTTTGGCAGCCTGTCCCACTGTGCTGCTCCAGGCACACTCTCTGAGTACCTCTTAGACTTTGGGCTCTGAACTTTGGGGCAGAGAAGGTCTTTCCCCTCCTGTAGATGTTAAGCCTAGTAAAATGGGGTCCTGAACTCAGTTTGGGAAACAGGTTCTACTGAACAACAAAATAAACAAAAAAGCACAACAGAAATAAGTGTTAGAACAGCGTTTCCCACTTAACATGCCTTTCTGTGTACAGTGTAATTAGGGACAGCTCAGTTAGTGAATGAAAGGCTCTTTTTTCGTCTCAGAGGAGGGAACACCTCATGTTCGGGCGGGGGTCCCTTCATAGCACCCTCAGTCAAAGGAGGGTTTGCAGAGGGGCACAGCTCCCCACAGCCAACCCCGACACCAGCCTGGCATGCAAGGAGCTGTCAGTGGGACTTATCATGGACCTCATGGTGCGGCAGCACGGGGTTTGCAGCGGGTGGTGTGCAGGCTGGGATGGAAGCCAGAACAGGAGGAATGCTGGCGCCTTGCAGCCTCCCACCTCCCTGAGCTCGTCCTGCATCGAGCAGGGTGCTGGGACAGGCAGCTGCCCTGGAGGTCCCTGCTGACCCAGTGTGTCTCCTCTGGCTTTGACTTCGTTGTAAGTCTGGGAGAAATAATCTTTCCTAATTTTTTTTTTCAGGGGATCTTTGTTTTTGTGAGGGAAGCTGTGTGTATTTTTTGGGCCATTCACATTGCACTTTCTAATTCACAGATGCATCTGAGAGACTCACCGACTTACTTTTCCTTCTAACTTTGTGAATATTCTTTTTCTGTAGACTCATAGTATATACTATGTATATATATATATATATATATACATAGTATATACCAGTATATATCTTTCGTGCTCTCACCTACCATCATAAGTCTGAGCTATTTCCATGATACTTTATTTTTTTTTTGTTTGCTAATAAAACCATGTAAAAGTAACATCTTTTCCTGTATCGTTATTTTTTCCAAGTCTTTTTTGCTAATATTGTTCATTATGTTACTTTTTATATACTGAGTGCATTTAAAATATGAACCCTTTTATTCCTTATTTGCCCTTAAAGTCCCGTTCAAACTGGACATTTTTGAAGTCTAAAAGATTCAAAGTTTGTCTTAATGTAGACTGATTCAGTTCTTAAAATCATTCGAGATCATAACTTTCTATAAATATCTGGCATTAGCAGACACTTTGAATACTCAGAGCTCATTTTTCTGTAAATACAAAATAGTAACTAAAACCAAAGAGAACATTAAAAAAATACAAATTATAAATATGAAGGAATGTTTATAACTTTGGGGTTTTTTTAAGATGTTTTCTAGAAGATGCTATAAATGCATTTCTTTCTTTCAAAAACAGTTTAGAAAGATGATTCAATATATGGAGGAATGCAGTAATACGTTTTTTGACATTTTGTGCTTTTTAAAGCCTCTGGGTACCCCGAGAGTGATTAGTAGAAGATTTTTAATAAAATATTGTGTGACCATAAAAGGAATCAAGTATTTGAAGTTCAAAGAACAGAATTTTTTTGAGTCAATAAAAACAAATTAGTGGGTTTCAAGCCTGGTTAGTATGTTCTTTCTTTAGATTGCTGTGTATTTATGTACGGTCTGTGCACAGAACAACCTACAGAGCTTCTTGCCAGGAAGTTTTGGCTGAATTTGTTTACATTACAGTCATCTTCTATCTTGAACAACAGCAAAGGACAGATATTAAATTTACCAGATTTCAAGACATCTGAATGAAAATACCGTGAAAAGTAGTGTTATTACGGACTGTCTCTTATTTTCGGGCTCCCATTTAGTGTCATAATCATTTTGTTGCATTTTCAGAGAGACCATGACAGGGTAAAACAAAACAGTTGGTTTAGGCAGTGTGATGGTACTGCTCAATAACCTTATCCTGAACACTGAAAATGAACAAAAATGAGAGCAATTATGAAAAAAAAACACCCAAAAATCATGAAATCAACAGAAACCATAACAGCTTCCCCCACCCTGTCCAAACTCAGCCATGTCTTAGCTTTTCAAAGCACAGAGGTCTGTACTGAAACACTCTGGTTCGTTGATCTGCTCTAAAAGATAGGGAATTGCTGAATTCAAGTGATTTGAATAAAAAGCTGTAATTTCAAGTTACAGGATTTAAACCCTGTGTGATAAAATTGAATTACTTTGATGGCAGGGGAAAGGATCCCCCTGGAAGCATTGCAGTGCAATTGTCTGCCGCTTAGATGCTTTTCCTCACAGAGATCATTTTCCAAACAGATTCCTTCATCACAGACCAGTTTGACCCACTTTCAACGTTGTAAACAGAGATCAGAACTGGAGCGGGAATTTTCCTTGTCATAGGAGGCTTTGCGCTCCATTAAGTTTTGTTTGTACTTTTATTTTTGGTCAGCTGCTCGACAGAAAGCATCATTTAGAGGACAGCTTTGTTCTGTTTGGGGAAATAGGAAGATGCATCAGAGGATGCGATGCAGCAGCCATTTGACACCCCGTTACCCCCCCTCCCCTTCTGTTAGGGGCTTCTGGAGGGCACAAGAGCAGCTGGTTCGGTGCTTTGAAGCCAGGGGATGGGGAAGCGTGCTGGATGCGCGGCTGGGTCTCTCAACACCCTGGCCCCCCTCTGTCGAATGGACCATCCCCAGCCATTGCACTGAGCGTAGGATTGAACAACCCAGGAGCTGCTCTGCTGCGAGTGGGAGGCTGATCCAAAACACAGCCGCTTCCTATTGCTGCTCCCGCATTGCTGAGGTGGGAGACGGACAGCACGGGGCTGGCCTCGGGAAAACAGATACAGATCGCTCTCTTGTTGGATTAGACTTGGTGCATGGCTGGAAGGAGATATCATTCCTTCTCCCTGAGGTGGATTGGGTACTGGTGTTGACATTAATTTGGTTATTAATTGGGATAGTATCAGGACTGATGGCAGCAAAGATTAAGATCTTTTTACATGTACCTTGTATATCTATATATGATTCTCTTTTTAATGATAGAGGTCTTTGGCTAAATGAGGCGTTCTGAATTGTAATTTGGGAATAAATTAACTCCTTGCAATTCACAAGGCAAATGAATTGCTGTGTATGAGCACAAGCATTGAGTCAGTCTCCAAACGGAGGGTTTGGGCTGCCATGTGCAGCAGCCATCTCGCCAGCCTTGTCTTTGCGATGAGGGTGTGCGCCTATGGCTCAGGCAAAGGAAAATTTATGTTCACTTGTCTCTGATTTCACATGGATGTATTGGGGCTAAGTACTTCTCTCCTATTACGACAAGGTGTGACCTGAATGTGGTATTTCAAGTGTTGCAAAGGAAGAAGAGAGGGAAGGTGTTTTGGAGCCAGAGTTAATAATAAGTGATGATTTTTATAGC